CTGCTATATGGAAGGCTACAACCACAAGGACAGACGTGATGTGCGCTCTAGGCCTAGCATTGCCGAGATGCATGAAGACCTGCAGCTTTCAGGACCATGCAAAGGGTGTCACTAGCCGCTCCGCACGCATCTAGCACCCTACCCGTCAAGCTGACATTCGAGAGAAGAGCTTGCACCTGCACGAAAAAAACAGCAGAGGGAGGACGAGGGAGGCCTGTAGTGATCCTGAATGCCGTTCGTGTACTTGTTTTGCATTACACCCTTTTGCTAAACATGCCGTAAAAATGTGCCTAAACCTACGCGATGCCCAAAGGGAAAATAAAAGCTACACTTCCACACAAAGGAGGGCTAGGAGAGCACCTACGAAATACCAAATAGAATCGACAGAGGTACACAGAAATTCTTGTGTGCCCGAACGAGCGCTTCATGAACAAATGTACGTAGACAACAAAATACAAATGATGTGTCTCCGTATGGTTTGCTTTACAGGCTTCACCCGACCCCCCCCTGTCCTGCAGGTCACGCTTCCAAGTGGCGTATTACCTCGAACGAATACCAGTCGTGTTTAAGTTTGTGGTCGTGTATTTTATTAACCGTTGAAACGATACCAACATACCGATCTGGGGTCGACTTTTAAGCGGAATAGAAGGCGCGCTTTGCAGTGGTCACCGTCACTACAGCAGTAGACTATCTCGTCTGATTCATAATTGTATTGAGCTTTGTCGAACAATTCTCAAGCAGGTATGCACATACATACTAGCGTGCAACTATACGTCGGTGCTTTGAACATGGTTCGATCATAACGCTAGCGTTCGCTTACAACAGCAGTGCTCAGAACGGTGCGGTCTGAGGTGATGTGGTACATTGAAACTCAAGAAAAACACACAGACACACACACCAGGAGGCCTACACCACGGCAACCTTCTCTGCACAATTTCTCACCTGTGCTCGTGTCGACGGGTAGCGACCCATACGAGATGACTGGCCCTTGACCATCGTGTCTCACGAGCCCTTCTCGTTCTTGGCCGACCGCAAGCGAAACTTCTGGTACATGTTGTACACACAGTCCACACGAGGGCACACACACTCGCCAACTTCAAGCGGGTTCCTCCGCAAATCTCGGCTGTGCACCCATGCCTCGCCAACTTCTGCACTCCACTGTGCGATTGTGGACCAGAAAGGCCCAGTGCCTACGTGTCTCCATAAACCTCGAGGTCCGTCGCTGCAACCTGGCCTATAACAGGTGAAACAAACAGGCGGGCCGCCGCAAGTACTGACCCTACCATGCTCGGTTCGTCCGCATATGGCAAGCGGCATAATCACCAAAAACGCGGGAAAACGGTGCCCAACAGCCGATTTCCAACTACAGTTTTCTCTGCGGGAGTAGCCTAAACAACAGCAAACCTAGACAGTTCCGCACTGACAAGGGCCTATACTCGCGTGTGCACCGGTCGGTAGCGCGCGAGCGTTTTCGCACTCAGGGGTGTGCACTCAGATCCAGCCAGCTCAGACTTGAACGATATGCAGCTCAGATCAGTGCGGCATCCGTGCACGCCGAAATACAAACGATCACCCCCCAAAACACCGCCCCCCGGTAGAGAAGATGGTACACAGCAGTGATCGAAGTGCTGAAGGTGGTGGCGAAGGCTGAACAGCGTGCTATGGGCGTTGCTGTCGACAACGGTCGACGGGGGGATAGTCAGGAATATGCCCCGGAAACAAAAAACGCCTCATTCTCTCTTTCCTATCTCATTTTAGACCGTTTTTGGTGTTTGGTCAGCGTACACATCTCTTCGTCCACTGTTTTCGCGGGCAATCGGTCTGGGGAATTTCGTGGCAACACCTACGCGGTTCAAGAACGTGAAACGGTGCCCTATAGGCAACGCGCCACGCAAAAGGGTCATCCCCAAAAAAGTGCGGCGGAACCTCAGCAAACATCACTGTTGTTTCTTGTTCCCGGGGTCGACTGTAACACCATTTCAAGGTTTAACCGCCTCCGCCAAAATACAGTCGTTACCGCCCAAAAATGCAATATCGCCTACCGCCAAAACTACAGCTGCACTGCCAAATTCTCATAAACTCTGCCAAAATACCGGCCTAGAAAGCATCGCCGTGCGTACCGACACACCCACAAATTTACAGAAAATAAAGAAATAAATTAATCGAGGAAGCAAGCACAAGGCAGCCTGCGTCAACGTCGTTTCGGCCGCTAAAAAAGATGCAACCACCCACCGCCGACAAAATTACCGCCGCTATGGCGTTGTTACCACTGCCGAAAATGTCTCCGCCTAACAAACCGTTACCGAGTAAGCACTACGACACACGCCAGCTTCGCCACGCAACAACGCCTCACACATTCCCAACTCGCACGCACAAGGAAGCCGGTCGCGCGACCCAGTCTTTCTTCTGCCTAAAACTCCATCCAAGAGTTACCTGCACGAGAGAGGCCGGCCACTCGATGTCGGCGATGGGTTGGTTAAACAACTCCCCGAACGACAGCTGCTGCAGCGAGGCTGGCCACACGACTTCAACGATAGGTTGATTGAAGCAGTTTCCGAAGGAGAGCATCTCCAGAGAGGCTGGCCACGTCACGTCAGAAATAGGGTGGTTGAATTTCCATCCGAAGGAAAGCCGTCGAAGGGATCTTGGCCACACCACTTTGCCAACGGGTTGGTTGAATTCGTAGCCGAACGAGAGATACCGTAGAGACTCCGGCCAAAACACTCTGTCAATGCGATCGTCAAAATTCCATCCGAACGAAAGACTTCGGAGCGAGGTCGGCCATACGACATTGCCGATTGGTTGGTTGAACTCGTACCCGAATGATAGCCACGTCAAAGAGGACGGCCACATAACCCCATTGAGTGGATGAGTGAAACCATCTCCTAGCGCAAGCTTTTGAAGCGAAGCTGGCCACCTTACCCCAAACATCGGTTGGTCGAACGCCGCACCGAAGGAGAGTTCCTGCAGGGACTCCGGCCAATCAATTTCCTCTACGCGCTGACTGAAGCAATACCCGAACGATATCTGTTCAAGAGACCGCGGCCAAACCACGCCGACGAGCGTCTGGTCAAAGCAATGCCCAAACGAAAGCAGGCGCAGGGAGGCCGGCAACTGTACTCCAACAATGGGTCGGTTGAACTCATAGCTCAACCGAAGCCGCTTCAGAGAGATCGGCCACTCGACTCTGTCGATGGGCTGGTTGAATTCACCGTTGAAGGCTATTTCCTCAAGCAAACCCGGCCAGTGTACCCCTACAATGGATTGGTCGAACCTTGACCCGAACCGAAGCTGTTTCAAAGAGACCGGCCACCGTACTCCAACGATGGGTTGGTTGAAATCACCATTGAAGGCGATCTCCTCTAGCGAACGCGGCCACTCTACCCCTGAAATGGACTGGTTGAAATGTTGCCCAAACAGAACACGTTTCAGAGAGATCGGCCACTGTGCTGCGACGATGGGTTGGTTGAACCCATCCCCCAAGGCTATAGTCCGAAGTGAATCCGGCCAGTGCATATTTGCAATGGATTGGTTGAATCTCCACCCAAATGACACCTCCCGCAGAGAGGGCGGCCACGCCATTTCCCTGACACTGTGGTTGAACTTCCAACCGAAGCTCAGCTCCCGTAGAGACCGCGGCCACACTATTCCCGCCACGGGCTCGTCGTAGTAACTCCCGAGCTCGACACGCCGAAGCGATGTCGACCAGCAGATCTCGCGCACGGGAGCGTCGAGAGGATCGCATGACGGAGAATCGCTCGAGGTGGGCACCACTAGTTGCCTCGTGGACGTCGAAAGCACCCGGCTCCTCGAGTCCTGGGGATCGGACGCTGGTGCTCCACCCGAGGGTCGTGGTTCCTCGCAGACTTCGCGCGGCTCCTCGGCAAGGCCGACGTGCTTCGCAAAGGTGGCCTCGATCTCCCACCTCACGCCATGCGCCCGAAGGGGCGGGACGCGGCCCGAAGGCGCTGAGTACGCTCCCGCGTAGACGGTGGGGGTCCACAAGGAGCGAGGCGTGTCATGGTCAATCTTCACCAGCAAGGTCGGCACGCTACGGCACGCCCTGCAGAGGTCTACAGACGCAAGCTGGAGGTTGAGCGTCGACGTGAACCAGCGGATGTTGTCGCCATCCCCTGCTCTGCTGTCGTACGCTTGGTTCAAGGCCACGGTCAACGCGTCCAGGAACCGGCTGTACCCTGGAAAACGGGTCGGGCGCGCGGCGTTGGGAGTGCATCAGTCTGGAAAGCGATTACAGTACGGGCCAGCAGTGGAGAATTATTTCGACAAGAAACAGAGGCTCCAGTTGCTCACGAAAAAAAAGAAAAAGGTCTAAGAAATATAGCTCAGCGGTGGATCCTACACTAACCTCTATATAATAACCTGTGCTCGACAGCAGTGGCCATGTAAAAAGAAACCGAGCCTCCACCCGATTTTGACATTTTTGTCTGCGGACCCGTGCTGTACGAAACAAAGATAGAAAACGCCCCAGACTCACAAGACAGCCGTCAAGATGCATCACCAGTTGGCTGCTATTTAGTATTCATTGCCGGTGGGACAAGCGTTTGTTAGCCCATATGACGCCCCCAAATAAGAAACGAACAAATACATGAAGACACAATCGATGAACACAAACAACACTCTCCACTCCGCTCCCCAGGTGCCTCAGCGAAAAGTGGTGAGTTGTTCGGCCGAAGCGTGTGCTGGGCAAACACGTCAAATCTTTGCTCAGTGTTTTATATTAACAAAATACCCTATGTACCCCAGTATTCTGACGCGTGTGGTGTAGTGGTAACATAAGCGCCTTCCAAGCACTTGCCCGGAGTCCGACTCTCCGTATGCGTAGTAGTCTTGTTGTCTACCTTCATCTCTTCCAAGCGATGGTAACGAAGATCGCACAGAGTGACTGCTGTAGAGCGACATCAAAATGTTGGGCAATTCACCATTGTCCATGCTCGTTGCGGGGGCCGTGGCAAGACAGCCAGACGGGCGGCTTCCGAAACGGCTGATGTTCGGCGAGTTGGTGGGAGGGGAGAACCCGGGCCGGGGAAGCCCGGAGCAGAACTGGCTGATATGCCTGAAAGACGACCTGAAGATGATCGAAGCCAGACACGGCTCCACGCCCGACAAGCGGAGCTTCTTCGGAATCCCGAAGCCAGACTGGGACGAGGCGGCGAAGGTAGAGGGGGGGGTACCGTGGCACGCGGGGGTGCTACAGGGAGCTGGGAGGTTTATGGCCTCTTGGCACAAGGGCGAGGAGAAGGCCAGCTGACAACGAGCCATCAAACGAGGAGACAGCGGGCCCAAAAATAGTCTAGATACGGCACTAATCAACGGGGCGGGAGGGGG